GTTCATGCGACGCAATACGTAACACACTTGATATCTTTGAGCGTGTACGTCAATCTTTGAGAAGAAGGCTCGTTGGATGTATCATCATGGCGCAAGGTGGACATTTTCAACAATTCATCTAATTGTTTTATTTCATCAGAAGAACTGAAGCCTGTTTTTGTTTTTCTGTTTTTGACTAGATTTTTGACTAGTTCAAGCTGTATTTCTTTCAAACAGATTATTACACGTTTAAATTTTTTTATTTCGGAAACTAAGCCGTTTAGGACACATGTTTATATGGACTTTTTTTACTTGAAATAAACCAAAGAATCGCTCTGTTGAATGTGGCAACATACTTAACTAACACCCGGTATATAGTAAAATTTATATATAAAAACATGTGCTTATACAAATAAGTTTTGTGTCCTTCTTATTAATTTACTTACGGATATTTAATCTTTTACTCCTATTGATTTTATAGGTTTCTAGGAGCCACAGCGACAGTTTACGCATACGGTTTACCAGTCGTCCTGCTAATAGTAATTTCCGGTTACTACCTCGTCAAGGCTGCGATCGTATCAAGGTACGGACATCTTTTTATTACGGTCGTCACACCGTTATGATTTAATATTACGATCTAATATTAATTTAATAACTGAATAGATCTTCTAAGAAAATATATTTTTTTCTAACGTACAATCTAATGCGCGCTCGCGCTTCTATAATACAATTCTGACATTTTCATTTTCATCAACGGACTCCAACTATGGTTTTTTTCACGCGTAAAAGTTGCGGATTGTATACAGTTTATTATTCTTAAGGTAACTCGTATATTTTCATCCTTGTAATTTCAAACTTTGCTTTTCTGAATTATCTCGACCCGAAAGTTTCCCGTGTGTTTCCCCCTTTCTCGGTCGGTAGATTTACACATCGCGTAAGTCGCGACTTGTATACATGCAGGTACACGTGCAGCATGCAACTCGAGATAAAACAACGCGAGAAGATGAAGAGGAGGCGGGCGTTGCAGCTGATGCTCTTCCTGAAGGTCAGTCTGATCGTCGGTGTGGTGGCCGGTTGCGGGGTGGCGTCCAGAATCTGGAAAATTCCCTTCCTATGGGCGATTTTCTGTACGGGTCATTCTCTTCAGGTATGTAGAGGAAAGATAAAGCGGCAAAAAGCATACGGACCATTTCCCGTCAAGTACACGCAGGCGAGATATGCGGTACAAAAAGAGTCTCGTAGGTGGAAGATTCACCGAGAGGCGTTATTTCTTTCCCAGTACTCCTCTCCTAACGATGTACCGTACGACCGCAATATTTCCACCGCAATTTCGATGGATTATGGCACTATACGAGCGCGCGTTAAAGGCAGACGTTGAAAGATGAGAAATCATTAAATCCCCGGGAGCGACGCATTTTTGTCATATCTTTGTGATTTCTTTAGATTCAAAAATTGATGAACTGAATATTACACATTTTTTAATACTACATTTTTTTATGAATCATCTCTGAAATCGTTATTCGGGTCATTATTTGAACTATTATTCGAGCCATTATTTGAAGCCATTATGTGTGCACAGGCCATCACGCGGACCATTATTCGGACCATTATTCAGACCACACTCTCTCTTCGTCGTTCGATCACAATTTAGCTCAACAAATTTGAAATTTAATTTGATTTCTTGTAAATGCAAATATACCAATTATCATGTGGTTCGGTATTCGCTGACGGTGGCACCAATATTACACCGACTTCAATTCCAACATTGAGAGATCTCGGTTGAGTTCTTGACGACGCGACGCTCAGCATTGCGACGCGCATAAAGAACTGAAAGGGCAAACGCAGGAACGCGCGGAATCTCTTTTCCTTACCCTTTTCCGATAAGCTCTTCGAAGAACTTTCCGTTCCTGATGCGTTCGATCTTGCATCAAGCATAAACGACTTCTCTCCTCTCTCTTTCTCTCTCGCTCTGTATATATATATATATATATATAGAGAGAGCGAGAGAGAGAGAGAGAGAGGGGGGGGAGAGAGAGAGAAGCCGTTTATGCTATGTATACACACAAACATACACGCACACACACACATATATATATAATATGTATATGTATACATATATGTATACTTATATATAATGTGCTTCCATATTTCTTCCTACCAGTCGAGTTTGCTGAGTCGAATGTTCTTCAACAGCGGGAGCTTTTCGCGATCAAAGTGTGGAAGACGTGCCGATCTCTCTTCTTACTTTACTCACTCTGCGTCCAATTGCACACTCTCACCGTCATATTCGTCTTTCCTTCCGTTCGTCCCTTAACTCCTATCTTTTATAGTTTTTTCAATTGTAATCGAGAAACAGTTTTTGTTTTGTGCGATTTTTTAAATCTCTCTCTAGTTTTTCCTTTTTTAAAAATCAAACAGTTTACTTACTTAAATTATATTTTTAATACTGTATACATTTTCCTCTCCGTGGTTCCTCACTTCTTTCTCTCCTTTGTCAATAATATTCAAGAATTCAAGACGTTCGTGATTTTTTTAAACGTAAATCTAAATTCGTTACACAGTTAGAGGTTTATGCTTTAAATATTTTATCATACGTGTGTACACTCTTTTGTCATTCGTAGAGATACAAATTTAGAACAAATGTTTTTTCTGAAAACAAATCCAAATTTTTCTACTATTAAAAAAAGTTAATTAGCCATGTTCCTAATTTCTTAGACGTGTGTTCGATGATACAACTTTATCTAGCTATTCTATATTATGCACATGATAATTATATGATGCTACACAGGGATCGGCAGTGGCACTCTCCGTCGCGTGTAACTGCAGGGTCTTGAAAGTCTACGCCAGAAAATCGCACAAGCACCCGGAACATCAGGTACGAATCTTCGTTGAAAGTTTTGTTTCTTCCAACAAGTCCATCGATAAATCCTTTCCTCGATAGTCCGATTGTCTGGCTGCTTTTTCTGTTTCTATACTCGTGGTTTCTGTACCTATGGCAGTTGTTTTGTATTACTTTGCGAAACATTTATTTTGATGAGTGATTCATTAATCTTTTTATCAATTTTTTTTAATTGTCGCTTTTTTTGTGATTACTCAAGATAATACGAGTCCAGAATTTTTAATTCTTTTTTTTAATAAAAATTTCCGCAATTTCTGTGATAAAGATACGTTGATTTAGAGTTAATGAGTACAAATAACCTTTGTGGTTTTTTACGAAGTTTGAAAGAATTAATGAGTTTTAATGGGTTAATAGCGGCTACAAATTTTTCAAGTCAAAAATACGCGTGTCTGACCTTCCAGCTTGCCTCTTTTCATCGAGAAAGATCTTCCAGAGCAAATAATTTAATCCGGTTGATTGCGGTGCGTCCTCGTTTTCCAGGTCAGACTGAATTAAACTGTCATTCCTTCTACTCCTTATTTTGGTTACCCAATCCTCCACCTCGGTTTATTGAAATATCTGGATTTATTTATCGCATCAGCATCTGATATTCAAAAGACCTACAATTTGACTAATTCGACTTTAGGCAAATATCCCGATCTCTTCAGTTTTCCTCTCCTTTATCTCATGAAAAAAAAAACAAGTTACTTTTAATAAAAACCTGTTATTTAAGAATTTATCCTTATAATTTGAGATTAATATATAAGAATGTACACATTGTTGGTAACCAGGTTTATTATTAACAATAGAAATTCTTCGACTTTTGTTATTTATGTGGCTGAAACAAGCACTTAGTTTGCTTAGACACAGGGTTTTCAATGTGCGACCTGACGTTAACGTTGCAGATTGCAAAATCAAGCAGTAGCATGCAACTGCTTGCACCTGCGCCTGATCCGGTTTAGGCGATCTTCAGAACGAAACGGACAGGAAACGAAGAGGAAAACCAACGAGTGGCGACGGCTGGTGTCTCTCTCTCTTTGCGAGCTATAACTATTTTTACATCGAAAATGTGCTGACATTTTTCTCTTAACTTCGCCGTTTCTCTCTCTGTGACCAGAATTTTCCTCCGTGACGTGCGATTTCAATTTCAACCTCGATAGCTTCAATCATCTTGCAGCACGACACCTTTTCGTTGTCTGGGATAGGTAGGAAACTTTTAGAAAACTTGTAATTTGTGTAAATTGAAATTGGCATACAAAAGAAGAAAATAGAAAATGTGTAAAACTATACTTTCGATTGCTCACATGTTGATTTGTTATAATAATCTGAATTATTACTTTTGATGATTTATAATAGTCATTGTAGAGAGAGAGATACATATATATATATATACGCCGCATTACAGTTTAATATAATTCTCATTCTGGTCATATTATATTGAATCGCTATTGTTCTGAGAGTCTCAAAAGTTTTGGAATTTGAGTTCTTTTGCACGCACAAGCTGCATTAATCCATTCATCGACTGTAATTATTAATTGTTCTACGTGAGACTTGCGAAAGATCCTAATTTTGATGTTCCATTATGCAATCTATTATTTATTACGTTATACAAATCTCGATAAATTTTCGGACAATGGATTATAACTGCTGCACTTAACGTAAGTTTTAAAAAAGTAAAGTGAAAAAGAATCAAACTTTTCAAATAAGAAAGCAAATTATAAACTTCAACTTTTCAAAGTTTTCAAAATGACGTTAAGAACTCGGAGGATTAAATATAGTTTACTGAAGCAGATTACTTCGGTCACGGTGTTATTAATTATTTCTGCGTATTCTTAATTATGGACCAGTAAGGAAGGATATGGATTAAAATCAATGATTAATTCTTTTTGAAAATTTGTCAAGTTGCCAGTATACCCTAAATAATTTAAGAGAGATTGATCGTAATGAATTTTAATCTTGAACGCGGACTTCAGTAAACTGCGACTGATTTACAAGACTCGAATCGCATGTCTCCTACTCATACACTACGAGTCGATTATGTTTGCTGTTGCGTAATGTTATCATGCGGGAGATAATTTGATATGGTTTCGATATGACGAATGATTGCTGTAGCGAAAAGCGCAAACAGTGGGAAATACACAATAGGTAATGCGTTACAATCATCCCTGATGTGATATGCATATCATGTTAAATACGCTGTAACTGTATATATAATTCTGTGCGTAACACGTAATCGTTACCTTAATTATTTTCAGTGTATAGTTTCGTTAAGATGCTTCAATTTGCGATCCAGAAACGTAATTAATATGCAATCATATAATTGTTATCGTATAACTTTTCTGAGGGG